TCTCTCTCTCTCTCTCTCTCTCTCTCTCTGTCTCTCTCTCTCTCTCTCTCTGTCTCTCTCTCTCTCTGTCTCTGTCTCTCTCTGTCTCTCTCTCTCTCTCTCTCTCGACGCAGAGACTGCCACTCACATGGGGCTTAGAACCATGCGCAAACCTCCTTTGGGGGCATGCCCTGCCCCTCCTGTTTCCTTGCAGTGGGTATAGAAGATTCGCTTGTCTCAACCTTGCCCTACGTGACCTCCCAGATGGCCCCACCCCCACTCTCACCTGCTCCGGTGGTCTTCCCACCCCGCCTGAGGGTTTTTCCTACCTCTGAACACTTGGGGCCGGTCTGTTCTTCCAAGTGCAGGGCCATTCTGGGTGCGGTAGACTTTTGGGCAGGATGTCTGGCTCCCCATCCACTGGATGCTATCAGCCCACCCCATTTGTGACAAGTACAGATGTTGCCAGACCCTGTGAGTGACCCCTGGGAGCAGAGTTGCCCTGGAGGGAGAATGCTGGTGTGGAATAAGGGAGGACACGCCAGTTTTCCTCAGAGCATTCCCATCTGGAAAACGGCGTCAGTATTGCCAGCCTTAATACCCCAGAGGCGGTTCATCAACAGCAGCAGTAATCACAAACCAGTCCACCAGAGCCATCACCAGCGGGCAAGATGCCAAGGCCAGTTCCCCAGGGGCAGCCATAGCCCCTGGCAACTCACCCCTGCCCCCACCAGGTAAATTTCCTAGCAAGCGAGCTCCCAGGGAGGAAAGACCCCTGGCAGCAGAGGTGCCCAGTAGGTGAAGCCCCAGGTAAGGGAGAGCTCCAGCCACCCAGGTCCCCAGATCCTCAGCAGTGCAGGCGCCAGGCTGGCCAGCTCACTGGAACCAAGACGCAATACTGGGCACCGTCTGGTACCTGGGCTCCTGCTGCAGCTTCCAGCAGGCCTTACAGAACATCAGGGCCCAGGAGAAGGACCGAGGCCGCAGTGTCTCCCGCCACCGGAAGTAGTTCAGGTAGCTGGTGTGGTCCTTGTCCAGTGCTAGCAAGTACTGGGCCAGGTCCTTGGGGCTCCGGAAGTCTTCGACGTGGATGAAGGCTTTGGGTGGCAGGAACTGTTCATAGTTGACCCGGCTGGGGCCCAGGACCACTGGCACAGCCCATGCCTGCAGGGCATTCTTCCACAGCTTCTCTGTGATGTAGTCGGGGTGCAGGGAGTTCTCAAAAGCCAGGTAGAACTTGTACTGGGACAGCTGCTTGGCCATGAGCTTGTAGGGCAGTGGCGTGTGGGAGCGTCCGTACACATCCACTTGGAGGTGTGGCTTCAGCAGCTCGTAGTACTGCACCCTGGTAGAGTCTTTCCTCCAGTTGGACACCACCCAGGCCACCAGCTTGGTCTTGGCCGAGATGTTGAGCAGTGTCTCCACCGGCTGGCCGGACCACGGCTCGAGCCAGCCGTAGGGCATGAAGATATCTGAGTCCCGGCGGTAGGACATGGTGAGGTTGAAGTAGCCATCTAGGTCCTTCAGTTTCAAGCAGTTGCTGGGTGATTCCATGCTGAACCAAACCCAGCGCTGGCCAGGGGGCCGCGGGGAAGGCGGGAGCTGCATCTGGGGCCGGCTGCTGACCTCCCGGTGGTGCACGAGGACCGCATCCGCCTGAGGGTACTCGCTGCGGTTGACGGTCAGCTGGCAGTCAGCTGTGCCAGGCCACAGCTCCGAGCAGCGGGACAGAGCCACTGGCTGATTGAACGGCCACGTCCACAGCAGGACACGCAGGGGCAGGCGGGAGGGGGACCCCTCAGTGGCCTGGGAAGGGGCCCCCAGTTCAGAGACCCACGTGGGCTTGGGCTTATCTTGAGACACACGCAGATAAGAGAAGAAGCACAGAGCCAAGAGCAGCTGCAGCAGCAGCCCAGGAAGACAGTGGTGCCAGGAACACTTCACCTTGGCGCAGCCGGGTGGATACATGCTTTGGAGCAGCTGGGAGGAGGGGAGAGTGAACATGGCATCTTTGACAAGAAGGATAATAACACATGCCCAGGGACTTCCCTGGTGGTCCAGTGGCTAAGATTCTGAGCTCCCAATGCAGGGGTCTGGGGTTTGATCCCTGATCAGGGAACTAGATCCTGCATGCCACAACTAAAGATCCTGGCATGCTGCAATAAAGATTGATGATGCCTTGTGTCACAACTAAGACCTGGTACAGCCAAATAAATGAATAAATATTTTAAAAAAAAAACCCAATAACACACAGGCCTAGTGGGCAGATGTGGGTTATTTCTATTTTACAGATGAGAAAACTGAGGCTAAGGGACTCAGAGAAAACAGCAGAGCTGGCCCTAGAGTCCACGCTCTCCTACCCACCAGGTCACACAACCTTTTGACCTAGGGTACATTCCAATGGTTCTCAGGTCCCACCCTGACCGTGACTTTGCCCTTGCCCTTTCTTAGCTTCCCCAGAGTCTTCCCCAGCCTAGGGAGAAGACAGAGCTGGTTACGGGATGCTCCCCAGAACCCTGGAGTTGAGGCTTGGAGCCAAGACTCCGTCTGGGAGGAGTCCAATGGAATTATGTTAGAGGGCTCACCAGGAAGTATACGATTTGGGGGAAAGGACATTCCTGGTGGACAAAACAGCCAATGCTGAGGCCCGAAGGTGACAGTGAACCTGAACAGTTTGCGGGGAGAGGACAGGAAGTGCTCAGGGAATAATCACTCAAGACACCTCCCATCCCTGGTCATGCACTACGGGATCCTGGGTGTCTCTTGGTCCACTCCCTGGTCCTTTCTGTTCCTGCAAGCTGTCACAAAGCCCTCCCAGTCTCCAGATCCCAACCGCGGGAGCAAAAATCTAGGACCTTAGCCCTGTGCCCCTCCACTTCCTGCGGCCATGGAGTCGCCCTTTTTACAGATGAGAAAACAGAGGTTCAGAGCAATAGGTGTGTCTCTTGCCCCAAAACACAAAGCTGGAGCACTTATGATCCAGAATCTGAACCCTTCTCTTTTAATGTAATTGCAAACTCCTTTCCCGTATTCAGACTGGCTAGTTGTCCGTGACTGTAGTTTCAGTTTGTCTGCCCCCTGATCCCCTCTCTCAGTGCCTACCGTCTTACTTGGGTTTCTCTTACCTTGGACGTGGGGTCTCTCTTCACGGCTGTTACAGCAAAGCGCAGCCGCTGCTCCTTACCCCACCCCGGCCACCGCCCCTGACCTTGGGCGCGGGGTAGCTCCTCTTGGCTGCGCTCGTGCACCGTCACAGCCGCCGCTGCACTCAAATTCTGAAAGAGATGTGCATACCAGATCACCTGACCTGCCTCTTGAGAAACCTACATGCAGGTCAGGAAGCAACAGTTAGAACTGGACATGGAACTGGTTCCAAATAGGAAAAGGAGTACGTCAAGGCTGTATATTGCCACCCTGCTTATTTAACTTATATACAGAGTACATCATGAGAAATGCTGGGCTGGAGGAAGCACAAGCTGGAATCAAGATTGCCGGGAAAAATATCAATAACCTCAGATATGCAGACAATACCACCTTTATGGCAGAAAGTGAAGAGGAACTAAAGAGCCTCTTGATGAAAGTGAAAGAGGAGAGTGAAAAAGTTGACTTAAAGCTCAACATTCAGAAAACTAAGATCATGGCATCTGGTCCCATTACTTCATGGGAAATAGATGGGGAAACAGTGGAAACTGTGTCAGACTTTATTTTTCTGGGCTCCAAAATCACTGCAGATGGTGATTGCAGCAATGAAATTAAAAGACGCTTACTCCTTGGAAGGAAAGTTATGACCAACTTAGATAGCATATTAAAAAGCGGAGATATTACTTTGCCAACAAAGGTCCGTCTAGTCAGGGCTATGGTTTTTCCAGTGGTCACATACGGATGTGAGAGTTGAACTGTGAAGAAAGCTGAGCACCGTAGAATTGATGCTTTTGAACTGTGCTGTTGGAGGAGACTCTTGAGAGTCCCTTGGACTGCAAGGAGATCCAACCAGTCCATCCTAAAGGAGATCAGTCCTGGGTGTTCATTGGAAGGACTGA